GATGCAAGTCAGCAAAGGTATAAATATGTGGTAAGAAATAATAATGTGTGCTTACAGGAAGAAGATGAGAGTGACGAGGAACATGATGAAGACAACGAGGAAGGTGAGAACGTTGATGCAATGGATGAAGATGAAGTGCAGAGTGGAAAAAATGCTAACATTTTAAACTTGCTTGAGTCTATGCGTCTTCAACAGGAGGAGAATTCTTCACTTGTGAATGAGAGACTTGCTACTCTATCAAACCGTGTCAGGTTAGATGGTGAACAATTTGCCGCATACTCCACCATTCAAGATCAACGATACAATACTTTGTATGGGATGATGGAGTCTCAAGCGAACAACTTCACCAACTTCACCAACAATTTTATGCAACACTTCCCTCTTAACCAACCATCAAATCCACAACCACAAGGAGGAAATGAGAGTGATGAAAATTGATGTTTTTCTTTGGTCTTATATTATGCTATTTTCATGAACTTAAGCTAATATTGGTTGTTTAATTATTTTTGGATTATGACTTACTTTGTGTTTGTCTCCCTTTGAACACCTATTTGCAACTAAACTATGTAATTGGGGTCTATTTATAATTTTTTCCTTTATGCCTTTCTCTAACATATCTTTATGTGATTGTTTTATAGAGTTATTGATTACCAAAGTAGATAATGGTCCAACCTTACTTGTATTAGTTGTTGTTATTTTTAACCTATTGCTTTGCCTCTTTTTGATGTTGTCAGAAGGGGAGAAGCATATGTAATCCAAGAACAGATGATATGAAAGCCATAAGAAAGGGTGCACAAATATAGGGGGAGAAATCTCTGAGATTAAGATTCCGATACTTGATACTAAGAACAAGTTTTTCCATCATCAAAAAGGGGGAGTATGTGAGGGCAAAGTTCCTTCAATAAGGTTTTCAATGATGTCTAAACTTTCCACTATATGTTGGAAATGTTGCTAGATGATTTGGTGAACAAGGTAGCATGAAAAGTGTTTAAGAATTGCTATTTTTGGAAATTTTCATGCTGTGAGTCGGTTAAAATAAAGCTCAGGTCGACACATTATTGAAAGTTGCTCCTTTAGGAAGTCTCAGATTTTCTCATGTCGATTGTATGGTCGACTCATCCTGGAAGAAATATTTAGAAACTATGCATCGATGCATAGCCCTGGAGCAGTCGACACATGGATATTTCACTTTGCCATAAGGTACTTTCGGGAATGCTCAGGTCGAGTCACCCTTCTGCATAGGTCGATGCATGGATCGTGCACACTGTCACATGGCATGTTTGGGAATGCTCAGGTCGAGTCACCCTTCTGCACAGGTCGACGCATGGATTGTGGTCACTATCATATGGAACCTTCGGGAATGCTCAGGTTGAGTCACCCTTCTGCATAGGTCGACCGTTCGCTCGTTAAAGCTGTTTTTCAGTCTATTAGATGGGTCTTGAATTTAGATAACATATATAATCTTGTTTGGTTCTATCATTTGATTTTTAACTAGAAAAGTGAAATAGATACACAAGGTACTCATCATCTTCAACCTCTCACTCATCCATTGACAACTACACATAATAATTTTTTTCGATCAAGGTGCGAAGCGTGTGTTGATAACGTTCGAAGTAGAAGATTGCGATATTGTTCGGGTTGAGTAATTATGGATTTTTGTTGAATAAAATATGAGGGTTTTGTCCTCCAAGATCATTGGAATTTGGGGGTTTTTGACAATTCTTTGCTTCATCAAATTCATCCGTGCTTAAGGGATTGACGAATCGTGTGTTCTCTCGACAAGGTAGCTACAATCGGAGGATTTTGAAGGAAGAATTGGGGTCATCATCTTGCTATCAAATCAGCCAAGCACAGGGTTTTAGAAACGGTTTGGGTTCTCAACAAGGTAGCTACAACCGGAGGTTTATCGAAGATTGGTGACATACTTTGTTCAAATCGAATCAAGGGAAGAAAGGAGCTTAGTTTTCAATTCAACATATTGGGTTTGAATTGTGGTGATTATTTTCTATCTCTTGTATAAACTTTGCAATCATAATAGCAATTATCCTAATTCTAAATTCTAGAATTAGGGGCAGAGGCACCCCACGCAAGAACGACAGGGGGAGCTGCCTAAATAAATCGCGTGTCATTTTTCTTTCTAGCTTTTTACCGTTTATTTGCTATAACCTGTGAATTTTCACTTGTGGTTCCAAGTGTCTGGATTTGTAGTGCAATAGAACTATTGCTAAGGACTATAGTAATCACTTTGATTGCTATAATTGGTTTTAACACTACAAATTAAGATAGATTGGACTTGGTGTGACTATGCACACCAACTGTTCGATAAAAGTCCAAAAGTGCAAATTTTTGTGTTTTCTTCTCAACAATTTATTGGAAGTAATTGACAATAGTTAAAGAGTATAAGTGATCAATTATAATTGAGTTAAGTGTTAATAATTCTCATTGATTCATTCCATTTGATTTTATGCATATCCGATCTTTTCAATAGATGATCGTTTTTAGACGAGTGTATCCGGGTAGCTTTCACTGTGTTTCAAACTTTGTTTAAAAACTCATTTTAAAATTCAAGTATCTATTCAATCCCCCCTTCTAGATACGTCCTATCGTCTAACATACTTTTCTCTCTTTGCCATGTTTCACAAATCTAACTGGTTGTGCAACATAAACTTCTTCATCTAAGGGGTCATTCAGGAATACATGTTTCACATCCATTTGACATACGTGCCAACTATTTTTACTAGATCAACAATCAACCTGATTGCTACAATTCTAGCAACAAGTGCAAAAAACTTCATCAAAGTCGATTCATTCTTTCTAAAAAAATCATTTTGCCACAAGTAGTTGTCGTGTTCCAATTTTGTCATTTATACTTTTTTTAACATATTGCGTAGTTTTTATTGCTATTTGTAACATGTTGTTGTTGAGAATATTGCAAGTGTGAGTGTGGGGAAATAGTTCCACATTGGATAAGAATGTGGTGATTTGAACATTTATAAGTGAGAGACTCCACTCATCTATCACCTTAAGATTTTAGATAAGCAAGTGGTGTGTCTCCCACAAAAGTGTGTTACTGAAACGGAAAGTCTCGAAAATAAGAATGCTCCTCGCTCGATCTTCCCCCGATTGTTATGCCAACAAATGATATCAGAGCTTTTAGTTCGAGAAAGGGACTGCTTCCCGTTCAAGAGTGTCCAACGGCAGTATGAGGGGGAGTGTTAAAAATATAGCAAGTGTGAGTGTGGGAAAATAGTCCTACATTGAATAAGAATGGAGTGTTAAAAATATAGCAAGTGTGAGTGTGGGAAAATAGTCCTACATTGAATAAGAATATGGTGACTTGAATAATTATACAAAAAATCCTGAAAATAAGAATGCTTCTTGCTGGATCCTCCCCCAATTATTGCGCCAACAATTGCTATTGTTGATAGCAAGGTAAACTTACGAAGTTTGAATATAAAAGAAAAATTATAGTTCTAAACAAGCAGAAGAAGCGTGGTGCCAGTGTTCTCAACAGAAGCATTACATTCAAGCTCTTAATAACTAAAGTCAATTGCACAATCTCAAACCAGCGATATAGCATGACAAGTTTCTTTGTTCTTTCTCTTTTGAGATAATTTCTTTTTATGTATAATTAGAAACTTAAGTTCTAAGTTATTGTTGTATCCTCACACAAGAAATCAACATACATGTTTTAACTTAAATTCTAATTTTTGTTCTAATTTATTTTTTGGTGACTCAGTCTTATTTCATTTTCTTTTATTATAAAATTGATCTTCAATCTTATTTCACTTTCTTTTATCATTGAATTTATTATGAATAATTATGTTTTTTATATATTATTAATTATTTGTGGGAGTTTTTAACCTCCGAAAATAAAACTCCTACAATTTAACTCAGACTTTTAATATATATATATATATATATATATATATATATATATATATATATATATATATATATATATATATATATATATATATATATATATATATATATATATATATATATATATATATATATATATATATATATATATATATATATATATATATATATTTTTAATTATATTACCTAAATAAAAAACCCACGATATTTTTGTAAATTAATTCTCTAAGTATTTAAATTTTATCTTATTTTTATTCATATTTCTCTTAATAAATCACCACTATTTTTAGATAAGATGGGAAGTTAATCCCAACCAAAAGCTTTTACAAAAAAGGATAATTTTCACAAAATTCTATCCAAAATTGTTAAACACCAACTTATTCTTACCCAAATGCACCAATAAACTAATAACCATAAAAAATAAAAAAAAAGATTGAAAGAGATGGATATCGAGCTTGTTTTGGGTGTCCAAAGAAAATGGATTTGCAATTTAGCATAAAGAAGAAGCCAAAAATGAAAAGATAAAGAGAGAAGTCTAATATGAAATTCCATTTGTTACCTTTTTTTTATGCAAATTTAAATAAATAATAGTAAAAATATATCATTTATGTTACAAAGTATAAATTGTATCAAAACCATTTTAAATCCTCTTTATCAAATCTCATTTTTCTTTATTATTTTATATTTTCTAACGATGAATGAAAGTTAAATTAAGAGAGATAAAGATGAATGAAAAAGAATGAAAAAATATTGATGGATAATAGGAAAAACTTACAAAATAGGTTAAAAAAAAAGTAGTTAAATTTCATTTACAATATTCTTAATCTATGGTGTCATATAGTATATACCAATAGTATATACCATACAATCAAAATTGTTTACATGGTCGGTATAATAGCCATACATGTTAATACCATAAACTAATTTTTTTTTTGTTTGATTTTAATTATGTAAAGAACATATAAATATAGTATAACTAATTAAAAATGATTAACTCTTGACTATTCTGTCAACAAAGATATCATTTGTTGACTAATTTGTTTTACTTTTGACCTATTTTATGCACAAATATATAAGTGGTGCAGTTCATCTTGAATGTATTATATCAAACTAGAATGGAGAAATACAAAGTTGCAATTTTGTTGCTTTGTTCACTTTTTGCACTATCATTTTCAGAAGTAGAAATCAAAGCAAAATTGAAACTCCTCAATAAGCCTGCAGTTAAAACCATCAAGGTATGCAACCTTGTAACACCATTTTTCATTATGTCAAATTTTAACTTATGGCTTATTAGCTTCTAGATAGTGCTTCCCTTCGATTTAAATTTTTGAAATAAAATTAATAGATTAAATCATTTTTATGCAGAGTGAAGATGGAGATATTATTGATTGTGTTAACATTTACAAACAACATGCTTTTGATCATCCTGCTCTTAAAAATCACACAATTCAGGTAATTTTTTTTTTGTTATAAATATTAATTACTATATATATGTTCAAAGTTGCAATTGTATTACCTCATAATTCTCAATAATTTTTTTTTGTTTTGTTTTACGATATTTACAATAAAAAGTGTTGTGATATTAAGAAGTTGAAATTTGTAGCTTCCCTTGAGATTCATGTTTAGACTCATTTTTATTTGTACTTAGATTAAGAAACAAACATATAATTGAATAAAATTAATTTAAATAATAATTTTGCCAAGTATAATGAATGAAGGGTGATGCATACAATTTATTTTTGGAAGTAAAATTAAAATAAAATAACTAAATTCAAGAATTTTTAATGATGCTTGGTTGGAAGGAATTTGAGTAATTTTTATTTTGAGGAGTAAAATAATTTGTAGGTTTATATTTTGTAAGAGTTGTGAATATATTTTTCTAAAAGTAAAATAATTCAATTTATTTGTAAAATACAAACTAAATCAATCATATTAATGTTAGCAATCATAATACTTTATCTCCGAATTCGATTCTTAATAAAAATAAAACTTGACCAATAAATTATTTTTTTGAACCACAAAATTAAATTAATCAGTTCACTATATGTATTGAAATTGATTCGATAAATCCAAAAGAAAACAAGATTTAATATTATTATTTTATTTTATTTGAAATAAATATTATTATTTGTTATTATTGTTCTCATTCTTCTTAGACTAATCATTTTATTTGTCTCTCTTTATTTAACAAATTACATACACAGAAAATACCTATATTTTTTCAAGAATCACAATATTCAAACAAAAACTCTGATTCTCAAGACAACCTTAAGATATCTCAAACATGGCAGAAAAGTGGAAGTTGTCCAAAAGGAACCATTCCTATTAGAAGAATTCTAAAGAAGGACCTATTAAGAACTACTTCTCTTGATCGATTTGGATTAAAACCACCAACATTGCTGAATAATTCAACAAACACTTCAAACTTCAATGGCTCCTTTGGTGTTATTTTGAATAGTCATTCGGTAAATTTTATGATTAATATCAAATTTAAATATAATATTAGTCTATAATATTAGGCTCGATAACTTAATTTCAAAAACATTTTTCAGGGAGCACATATTCAAACATCAGGATCCAATTTTATAGGTGCAGAAGCAAATATTAATGTTTGGAATCCAAAAATTGACCTAGATGAGGATTCTTCAACTGCTCAAATGTGGCTTAAGGCTGCAAATGGTTTAGATTTTGAAAGCATTGAAGCAGGATGGATGGTAATTAGTGTTCATAATATTTTTTCTTAATTATTTGTTACATAGTTATAATATATAATTAATTAATGTATAATGTTTAAATATATATGGCTCATATGAGTAACACAAACATGTAAAATTCTTCATGTTGATTTAGGTGAATCCAGATTTTTATGGTAACCATGACACCAGATTTTTTACCTATTGGACTGTAAGTAAATGTTTAATTGAAATAATATTCTTTTTTTTTTTGTTGTTGTTTACTTTTAAATGTAAAATTAGTTAAATATTAATTTGTTTTCTAAGTGACTATTTGATACAGAAAGATTCATACAAATCAACTGGTTGCTTTGATCTCACTTGCTCTGGATTTGTGCAAACAAACTCAGAAGTTGCTCTTGGTGCTGCCATATTACCCATATCATCTGAAAATGGAGACCAATTTGAACTCAATGTTGGAATATACTTGGTAATAATGATACAATATTATTTTAATTGCTTTGCCATGTTTTCAAATATAAATTTTTGGTGACTAATTTTTGTAAATATTAATTTTGTTGGTTGTGATTTTAGGATGAATTGGGACATTGGTGGCTAAAAATAAACCATAATGTACCTATTGGATATTGGCCAGATGGATTATTTGTATCTTTAAAACACAGTGCAGTATTGGTTCAATGGGGTGGACAAGTGTTTAGTCCAAAAGTGAGAACAAGTCCTCCTCACACAGGAACATGGATGGGTAGTGGATATAGTGCAGATGGTCGATTTAGACGTGCATGTTTTATACGTAATATAAGGATTAAGGATTATTCACTTGAGCTTAAATATCCAGATCGTGTACATATAGATTCTCAAGAACCAGGTTGTTATAGTGTTGTCAATGATGATGAAGGTGGAAAAGATCCTGAGTTTTATTTTGGTGGACCTGGACGTAGAGATAATGAGTGTCCTTGAATTTTTATTGTAAAACTAGTAGTAGAAGGACGGCAAAGGAAGATAATAAAGAAAAAAATGGCATAGGCCCATTAGGTTTAGAAAACCCTAGCTACTATACTATTTAAGGTGTAATATTTGTTGAAGTTGTTTTCATGAAAGATCAAAGTTTGTTAAATATTTTCTTCTTTTTCCAATCTAAATCTATTTTAGTTTTTAGAGTTATCTATCATTAGTGTTTTCATTCTTAAATCAAGCTCCTTAAATCTACAAATCCCTCTTTCAAGAACTTGGATGATGTTATTTAAGCTACTCATAATCATAATAAAGGTGCAATTAATTAGACATATACATCATAACATTATTCTATATCTCAAGCAATTGACCTTGACAAACTCATTGAATTCAAGTTAAAAGATGACAAACACAAATTCTAAAAACCTAACCTTTATGCCTTTAAACACACAAGCCCTACTTCACAAAGCAACCATATTTATAAACCCAATGCATGAATTACTTTCCATTATTCCACGTCTACACCTAAACTCCCATCCACATCTCAACCACCTAAACTACTTATAAAAAGCCTCTCACAATTTCAACTATAAGAGATATGAGCACGTTGTTATAATTATGATGAAAATTTATCCCTAGCCACAAGTGTACTTCTAGTAGATTTTTGGTCTTTTGGTTGAGGAAAACAAACAACAGAAGAGGTAACAAAGATATGTAATGATGATGACATTTTGGAGGTTGATCTCATTGATACTTATTTTCAACTCTCACCTCAAGCTCTGGCTGACCAATTCTTCCCCTAAAACAAGGACAAATTGGTGTTCTTCCTGTGATATTTATTATTGACACATGCATCACTCATAACATCTTACAACCAATAATTGCACAAAATTTAAACCTAACTACAACTCAAATCCCCAATTTTCTGTTATGGTTGGTAATGGTTATGGTTTAAAATGTTCAAGAATTTATAATAATATTCAAATTTCCTTACAAGATCAACCGTCACCCTTACCTTTTACTTATTACCAATTAAGGGTAATGATGTTGTGTTAGGCGTGACATGGTTGCGTACCTTAGGGTCAATCCATACATATTTCTCAATTTCCTCCATCATATTTTCTCCTAATTACACTTTAATTACTTTGAAGGATGATCCTGAAACCAACCCTACACATACAACCTTTAGCCAATTATGCCAACTCATACACACAAACTCCATTGCCTCCTTACACCTAATGAATTTTCAAAGCATTTGCCCTACAACAAATCCTATAAAGCATATTGTCTCTACCTTGCAAAATTTAGACACCACCTTTCAACTAGGGATTTCTTCCCTTATTAATATTTACCCAACATCTTGTCAGGGTCAACATGACCTGCCACCCTTAAGACCACATGACCACCATATTTCCCTCCTAGTAAATACACCACCCATAAATGTGAAATCCTATCAATATCCTCACTCATAAGAAGAGGATATAACCTTTATCATAAATGATATTGTAAAGGTATAATTTACAGAGCCTTAAGAATGACGATCCATAACTCTTATACAAACTAATTGCTTTAACAATGAGCGAGTGGCCAAAGAAGGGATATAGGTCGCCCAAAGAAGGGCTTCAAGTCTCCAAAAGAAAGCCTCCTTGTTGGGCTTAGGCTAAAATGCGTGATCTAATCAGTGTTTCCTTTAGTAGGAAAAACATGTTCCACATGCACTATCAAAAAAAGCTTAAGGTGAGGTAGTAAAATCAGGATCTCTATTAGTGGGGAAGGAATCACTCCTCACTAAGAAAATTAAGGGGAAAGGTGGAGAAAAGGAATTTACTTCCTCTTCTATCCAACCCATGGAAGCACTATAAATACCTTAGCCTTAGAACTGAGGCGAGGTCTCCAATTTTCCTAAAAAACACAGATACAAAGTTTCTCACCACTCTACGAGAACAATCCTACAAATACAAGGCTACCTTCATTGTACTTTTTTAGCAAGTATAATTGGTACTCATTATGGGTCTCGACAAAACTAACCTGGACTTCAAGTTTATTCCAAGTGAAGCTACCACCTGAAGCAAGAATGCTACAGTAAGAGGCGGCTGATAACGCTAAAACACATTGTATATTTGACTTGATTTGAACATGTAGCATCAATTACTCTACCTATATTTCTAGTTTTATGTTGGTGTTTTGTCTATTTTTCAGGTACTTGACCATATGAGAGACATACACAAAGAAACAAAGCAAATCAGATGGAAAATGAAGAAAAAGGAAGAAATTCCACTCAAGGCGTTTAACATGGCATTTTCCATGGAGAAATCCATAAGGAGAATGACGTGTCCCACTCAAAAACGGCCAAAAGACCAAGTCTTCCACATTTTGGGAAGGTGGCATTCTCCATCCTTTATAAACTTTAGGCGATTAGAAATTGGACTTTATTTTGGTCTCCACTTCCTCCACTTTTCTCTACTTCCTCTCACACGAATTCAAAAACCATCTCTCACCTTTTAGGGTTTTAAAAGCCTATAAATACCAGTTTTATGATATTTTACAATCCATCCAAGCTTATTACATCCTTAAGCACTAAATTTACCGATTAAAGTTATAACTCGTCACGTCGGGGGATTATAGCACCGTTGAGCGTTGAGTTTGTATTGAGTTTGGAGCATATTTACTTTGAGGTCATTTATCTTCCTGCATTTACATTCTGTTGAAGTTTAATCTTTCCGCCATTTACATTTCTTTTCAAGCTTTCCAACAATCTACTTTGTACCAGATTCAAGTCTCTGATTGGAGTAGGTTTTATTTAATCGTATTGCTTTTATTATCATCTCTTTATTTATTTACATGACATTGCTTTACTTTAATTTTATATATGTCAATTGCATGTTTTAATTCTTACTTACCATGCCTATTATGTTTAATTTTGTGTCAAATTCAACTGCTTTATAGTTTGTTATAACCATGTACGACTAAATCTAAAGTGTTGGAATGTGAGGACCGTCGACTCGATAGTACTCTAATTGTTGTTCTTTAGAAATATTGATGGGGATGTTTTGATTTTATATAATTTTTCTAAACTTCATTTAATCAGTTAATATATAAGTGGAATCATAAATATGTCGGGTAAGAGCGAAAGTCGTCTGGTACTAAAGATTAAAATTGTTGCTTTTGATCAATAAATATCACGAACTCGCTTTATTAGTTAATTAGGAAAGGTTGATGTTATTAGAAAGTGATTTTAAAACTATTTTTGGACGAGTTTATAAGTTTAAGATCCGATTGTTCGAGCGAAAGCCGAAAACCCTTTAAAATCTAATTTTCCAATCAAAACTACTTTTCATCTGAGCAAAAGAAACTAATTTCTAAAAAAAGCCTTTACTTATTTAAAGCAAAAACATCTAGGGAAAGTGACAACCCCAGTATAAATTAGAGAGTAAAAGCTGGTTCTAATTACACGACATCGATGATTCTTTTTCAATTAACTCTCTTTCAAAGGAGAAAACATTGTTCCATAGGTAGTTTTAGGAACAACAAGAGTATCAACGAATTAATGAGATCCGCATTCCAACATTTCATTTCTGAATTAATTCAAGTTCATTATTTTATTATGTTTTCACAACCTAAACACTTATTTTAATTGCCTTAGATAAACACCGTAGCAATAGAAAAATGATAGATTGACCATTAGGTATTTGTGGGTTCAACAACCTTTTATATTACTCTGATAGACTCTGTATACTTGCGGAATTCACCCATCAAGTTTTTGGCGTTGTTGCAGGGGACCAATTATGTCAAATATCGTAACTCTATTGTTGCACAATATAGATTAAGGCACTCTTGTTTTTATTACTATGTATCACCAAATATTTCTCTATAATTACCAGTTCCAGTATTTTGAGTGTTGTACCCCAAAATTTTCCCTCCCTTTTCATCAACATTTTTCTCATCACAAGACTCTTGGAACTCAAGATCAAGTTAGGGTTTGCTCTGCTCAAGACCCCTCCTTGCACTGTTGACCCAAATTAGGGTTTGAGGTTGCACATGGATGTTTTGACCTAAAATGCCCAAAGTGACTTTCATGCTTCATGATGGACTTACAAGTTTATCCATACCAAGTTTCAAGCCTTGATTCTAATCTTTGCCCAGTCAATTGGACAGTTCACCTAGAAATCAGCTGTATTGGGGAAAAAGTCAACTGTGGCCAATTGACAGTCAAACCTCATGATTTTTGACCCACATCAACATTATGAACTCATATGAATCATTTGATCAAGTTTGGATCACAACTCCACAAGAAATTTGATCAGATCACCAAAAGGGCAAAATGGTCATTTTTAGGGTTTTGACTGCACAAAGGCAATTTTTGACTGTTTGACCTGACCAATGGCAAACCAAGCTCACATATGGACTCAAGGACTCAATGGCATTGTATTGACCCATTCAACAAGTTCAAAAGATCTCAAATGCATAAGATTGACAGATGAATTTTCCAGTCAACTGATCAAAATTTGACTGTATACTGAAAAGTCAAACTTTGACTTTTTGGTCAAAATCAAGTGCCAAGATACATTTTTCATCAAGACATGTCAAATTATGAAACTTGTTCATCAAGAAACCCAAAATTGCAAATTAGGGTTTAAAATGAAGAAATTTCATAACTTAGAAATTTTCTAAGTTATGAAATTTCCTTATTTTTTCCTAACTTTGTCCCATTTTTTCACCAAGATGCAAATGGATTCAAACAAAACTTGAAACATGAAAGTTGTAGTCCATTACAAAATCTACAACTTTGATTCAAAAAGTTTTCTCAAAGGAAGATTTTATCTCAAGTTATGATGTTTGGAACAAGGGTGCAAAACATTTTTAACTTAGAGAAATTTTGCCCTATTCTAGGCAGGATTTTTGTCCAACTTCTTGGCCATTTTTCATATGGTTCCACTTGGAGTTTCAATTTTCATTACAAATATGGATTGTAGTACGCATTCCAAGCTTTCCAAATTGTCCAAGAA